CCTTTCGCAGCCGATACTTCCGCGGTTTTCGTTATCCGATCCGACGTCGCGCCGACGTTATCCGAACTCCGGACGGTTAATCAGGAACTCGCTGCCATTTTTGAAATATGCAAACGACCCCGGAGCGCACCGGCGCCAGAATAATTGATAACATCCACGTTAACGGAATGACATATCAACGGACACGTTCGAACCTGAAATACATCCGCTTTAAAGGGAAATTCTGTTCGTCGTTGCAGATCCTTCGACCTCGCCGGTGAGTCCACTCGACAGCGCTCGCGAGACTGTTGCCGACGATTCGATTCCCCGCGAATTTTAGAACCGTTTTAATAAAGTGGAATACTCTCCGACTCTTCTCAATTACGCAACCCGCGCCCCCCTACTTCTCGGCCGGTATAAATAGGTTTTTCCCTTTACATTATTCCACGTAACGCAGAAAATTTCCGCGAAATATTATTTTTCGCGAATTTAATTCGCACGGGGATGAATTGAAATGAGGATGCCGAGATCAAAGCGTCCAATTATTTTCAGCTTACTAAATGGAAACCTCTCGTTCCGTGCATTGTATCAAGGGAACGCAGTAACGTCGGCTCGTCTACGTTCGTTATATCAGGTTTGCATTTCATCTTGTTATTGCTGGCGGATTTTCAATATCGTATGGTCTCCGGGCGGAAACTGTTTCTTGGGTTTTCGACGAGTTTAAAGGGAGAATGCTTAGGCATTAAGGGGCGCGACAAGAATGCGAAACGAAGAAACGTTATTGCACTGGATATCGATTCGTTCGATGGATTTCTCATGACGATAATATCGAAGCATTATTTCCCTTGATATCGTTATGGCGGAGCATTACGTAGACAGGGGCGTAGTTGCGTTACGTGTATTGGGACACGTAGACGATATTACGCGGCTGAAACGAGATGTCGTTCGCCTAATGCAAAATTCAGCGGCGGAAACGGCATTCGTCACTGAGTAGGATCTAGAAGCGTCAAATGGACGACATGATGCAATCTCTGAAAATGATTTGAATTCGAGAAAATTGTCGGCTTCAGGATGCTGGCTTAGGTTGATGAGACGATACATATTCTGAATATCGTTTGTGCGTCTCCGTGCAGTGGCCAGGTTGCGCATCGATTTAACGTGAGCGTGTTTCTCGTGGGGATTTCGTGAGCCAGCGCCGTCCATTTCGTCATGTGCGTTAAAACGCACTTGCGGGACCGGCACCTACTTTTCAACAACGATGTCACGTTAAAAGCTGCCACCGCTGTACGGCTTTTAAAGCTCATTGCCACGCCAAAGAGTGCTATTCTTCCGATAACTCGGCTATGTTTGACGGACGTCATTCGGCATCTGTTCGCGCGGAACATTTTATTCGCATAGTTCCATTAACGAATTCAGCGGATCGGTTGTGTGCAACGTTTATCGAATTCCCAAGTGAATCGAATAAAGGTGCATTTGAAAACGAAAACGCGGTCTCGATCTTTGCAATCGTTTTCAATGAATAATTGTTTCCGTTCATTCGCGTGGCAGTCGACGCGTTCGTCTATACGCGTGGAAATCGCATCGCAACGCCGTTAATCGGGAAGATTAAGCTTCCCCTTAGAAACGATGAATCGAGAATTATAAGGAGTTGAGGGATTCGAGATTTTCGCGAGAGACGGCTCGCATTGTTACAAATCGGAGGAGCGTCGGCGAAAGGACTGGCAAGTCGAATTTCCCAGGGAACGTAACCCAGATTTCGACGAATGGAATTATCCACGCGAAACTGGATCCAAATTTTGAGCTCATTTATCCTCGCGTCTGTTTCATTGGGCGAGGTTCGTTCCTCAGTCTCTAGGAAGGCTCAAGAACCAAATATCCAACGGAATATTCCCTTTCGAGGATTAAGTTAATCACGGCGTCCTCCTAACTCCGAGCGAGGCACGTTCGTTCACCTGCGAAAAACCTCTATTTTACGTTATCCGGATTCCATAACTTTCGCGGACCGAAACTTTCGTTCGTGTAGCACGAATACCTCCCTGGGAAATTTCGACAGCATTTCCGGGATTTCCGCGATACCCCGCGGATGATTCGCTTTTGCCTTTATCTTCCCTTGCTTCCCTATTTTTCCCTCCTTTCGCCGTTATTACTGTTCCCGACTCCAGCCGCAAATTAGCGACGGATTACAAGAGTCTGTCTCTTAGTTCGTTTTCGATCTCCGATTTCCCTCCGGTGGAGCTCGAGCAACTTTAACTACCGCCGCCGGTATAATAGTTTGACTATCAACTACACCATGCTCTGCAGGTCCGTCTTAAGTTCGCGGCGTCGCTAATGCATCGACTAATTAGGAGAGTAATTACAATTTGCCGGTAAAGGGAAAGCACTGATACTGACGCTTGCTAGGAAAAACCCGATATAGAGTGATTGCGAACGATGTTAATAGTGAATTGAAGTTTACGGCGTGCATTTAACCCTCGACGAGCTGGTAACGGGTGACTTTTAACCTGTGTTTTATAAGTATTTGAACATTTTAAGAGTTTCATCACAATATACGATCTTCATGCGTTGTACTTGATACCATAGAAGAAATTTTTAACTTCTATTCCAACGAAGTATGGGTAAAATCGTACTGCAAACGGCATGCCGAGGAATTTAATAAAATTCTCGATACCAGCGGTTCCGGAGACAGGCTCCGGAAAATTAAACGTATCCCCTCGAATATGCTTTTAATATTCGAATTCTTTGCGAACGAAGGATGTAATTTCTACGTGTTTCTGTTCCAGGCCGAAATATGGAGCGTCTTTATCGCAATCCTGAGGAAAAGCGTGCGGAATTTGCAGGCGTGTACGGACGTGAGCCTGATAGAACACGTGTTGCATCGGCTGTCGCGCGCGGAAACCGTTGTCGCAGGTAAAACTCATATCCCACGATTGTAATCCAACGATGCAACGATCCGCGCACACGAAAATAACCGTTCCCGTCCGATAATGTAGATTTGCTCATCGATATGCTCGGAGTGTTGGCCAGCTACAGCATAACGGTGAAGGAATTAAAACTTTTATTCGGCGCTATGAAAGCAGTGAAGGGGAAATGGGTAAGGAACGGTAGAACCGTCGCTTCGAGAAACTTTCGCGGAAGGGAAACGAAACTTTTCACACGGTCGGAACTTCCCTTTCGCGATCGTATTCTCGCACCTCGCACGCTGATTCATTTTACCTTCTTCTTAATTTTTCCCCCCCGCCGCCGCTCACCACCGACAGCCACGGCACTCGGCGAAGCTGTTGAACGTTCTCCGTCAAATGCCGCAGCGAAACGGACCCGACGTGTTTTTCAGTTTTCCCGGCAGGAAAGGATCGGTAAGTCAATTTGTCTCTCCCTCCCGAGCCTGCGTCCTTATATTTCGCCCCTTTCCACCCGGATTCGTTCGAGGACGCAGCTCGAATCTAAACTCTATCTAACTTTCGATAAGAGAATTCGCCTTGTTTCGCGGAACTCCCCCTCGCATTTAATCCGTTGAATCCGATGACGTATTGATTCCTCCACTCGGGTTTACACTTCGCAAATAGCTCGAAATTATTCATTGAGTTCGATTAGCCGTTCTCAGGATTTCGTGTTTAGCAACGTTGAACTTTCGCGAAAAGTCGGGTGAATGGTTGAATTAAACTTATTCACGGAAAAAAGAGAATATGGAAGAGCGATGTAATATTGAAGGATCATTGAATACTGTAATTATGTTCACTGAAATTTTCTACAGGCAATCGTCCTGCCGCCGCTCGCGAGGTGGCCACACGAGAACGGGTTCACGTTCACCACGTGGTTCCGACTGGACCCCATCAATTCCGTTAATATCGAACGCGAAAAGCCATACCTCTACTGGTAAGTGTTCTTTACGTCGAGCACCCTTCGGTGAACACCTCCCGACCGAAGTGGCCGACTACACCTTCAAGAATCCGTTTACGTTACTGACCTCCGACGCGACGGGCGAAAGAAAGAACGGGGAAGAACGTGGAAAAAAGAGGTCCCCATCCCGCCGATCGAACGTTTCGGATTTGATTAAACGCAGCATTGTTCGGAGTTCGCGCGAAAAAGCTCCTACTGGAGCGCGTCACGTCCTACACCAATTTAATCACGTTCTTTCACGCGGAAACAATTCGATTTCCATACAGTTGACAACCGTTATTCCCATTTGCAAAATACATCGCTGTCCCCGCGACAGACGAGCAAAAAGAGGAATATCGAACGGAAAGCTCGTAAAGCATTCGTCACGGATGGAGGTAACATTTCACTGTCGCGGGTGTTCCATAACTCCGGAGCATGAGTTTCGAATCAATTCTTAAACCGGCGCGTATTCGGGCCGCTTCAAAACAGAGGAACCATGATATATCCCCTCTTTCTCCTTTCAGTTTTAAAACTAGCAAGGGAGTGGGATACTCTGCGCATTTCGTAGGGAACTGCCTGGTCCTCACCTCGATGAAAGTAAAGGGCAAGGGCTTCCAGCATTGTGTCAAATATGAATTTCAACCACGCAAGGTATGCGACGTTTCATTAAGCAACTCTTCTATTTGATCGTGAACCTGTTTTCCTTTTCGCATCGTCGATTCAATTATTCTAAAATATGCTAGGAGAATGCGAATGAAACCGATATCGTTTATTTTCGCAGTGGTATATGATCGCCGTAGTGTACATATATAATAGGTGGACGAAGAGCGAAATTAAATGTTTGGTCAACGGTCAATTGGCTTCGAGTACGGAAATGGCATGGTTCGTTTCGACAAACGATGTAAGTTGATTTACAGATCCGACGCTGGTCGTTCACCGTTTGCGATACGTTATTAATATCACTAAAGTAAATGGAAATCAGTGGTTCGCAGTGTCGCTAACTGTTTTTACTGCACTTCTCTTGCAGCCCTTCGACAAATGTTACATCGGAGCTACACCAGAACTGGACGAAGAGCGCGTGTTTTGTGGGCAAATGAGCGCGATATATCTGTTCAGCGAAGCTCTGACTACACATCAAATATGTGCTATGCATAGACTGGGGCCTGGATATAAGGTAGATCGCGAATAAACATTCGAGAACCGACGAATGGATCTATTAATTTTCAATGAATCAACGAAGTCATTCTGTTACACATTGAACACGTCGGTTTCCGTCTGTCCGCAGAGTCAGTTTCGTTTTGACAACGAGTGTTACCTGAATCTGCCTGACAATCACAAAAGGGTGAGTGATGAGCCGGAGCTCACGAGCATGGTGGACCAAAGTATGCAAACTGTAAGCATTTTTATTTTCATTTTTCCCGTTTACATTTGATTTGCACATTGTTTAATCACTCTGTTACTGCGTTCGAGCCCGTCAGAGGTAATTACCCGATAATCGACCATCACTACGAATATCTTTTCCCAGAACAAATGAGTTTACTTTGGACGTTACTGCGACACATAAGTTTGTATCAAGCGATTGAGTGACTGCTTGTTGTGAATTTTCCGTTTCGTACAAGTCCACGTCAACGTTCTTTTCAACCACTTATTTCAGTTTTGCTTCCTTTTATCGTAATCACACGGTAGCGTTTCGATTTCGTTGCTGCCTTCCGGTAGATAGATCCCTTGGTTTTGTTGTGACATGAGTAGCGATGTTTCTTGTGGCTGTATTTCGTGTTTATGAGTTGAATAGAAGATTGTGTTACTCGATGTATCCGTATGATTCATTCGAACACCGATATCGATGGATAATGCTACTAACGAAGAACTCGGAGGGGTACCGTAGGACTGTGAATGTCTCCTCGAAGATTTGATCGTAAACTGTTTGAACTAATACCACGTTGCAATCACTTTTCTGTGTGGCGGCACGTTTGTCCATTTAACATGCAACCGTCGTTCTCAGTAGTTACTAAACTTTGAAAGTTCCCGTTCAGTAAGCGACGCGGCGAAAAAGAACTCATTAAAGGAGCACGTATTTCGATGGAACTTTCAAAGATTAATCACGATTGACGGTGGCGGAGTAATTGTGAAACGATTCTCGTGAACAATACTGACAGGCTTACTTTGTAGGTGCTTTACGATGGCAAGCTGTCAAACGCAATTGTGTTCATGTACAACCCGGTGGCAACCGACTCCCAACTTTGCCTGCAAAGTGCACCGAAAGGCAACGTCTCCTATTTTGTACATACACCGCACGCCCTCATGCTGCAGGTACGAATATATCGAGTGCCGTTCATAGTGACCGCCGGGACGAACCGATCGAAAGGAACTAATCAAACTTTCTGCTACCCGTTTGTAGGATGTCAAAGCTGTCATCACGCACTCCATTCACAGCACGTTGAACTCGATTGGCGGCATTCAAGTATTATTCCCTTTGTTCTCGCAACTAGATATGCCTTACGATTGCATAGCACCGAACGATGTGAAGCGAGATCCAGCGTTATGGTAAATGCACCTGTAAATTAAACATTTATTCGCGTTTCGCGTGCTCGATCCGTTGATCCGATCGATCCGCTCGATACCGTAAAGCGGAGGGTTGAAAATCGTTACATTTCAGTTCGAAACTGTTGGGGTTTATCTGCGACCTGGTGGAAAGCTCGCAGACCGTGCAACAGCACATGGTACAAAACAGAGGATTTTTGGTAATTAGTTACATGCTGCAGAGAGCGAGCAGAGACCATCTGACCACGGAGGTGCTCGCGTCTTTCTTGGAGCTCACGAAGCACCTGGTGACCTGCCTCAGCGCGAACAGCGACTTGTTGTTAAAACAGGTATCCATTGAGTCATTAGTTTGGTCTTAATACTAATTAGAATTAAGTTGACTAGAACGAAGTTACCCGATCGACCGGATAGAAAGTAGAAGCAGGAGTCGATGGAATAGATGTAGGTTTACAGAGATCGATGAAACGAGGAGCATAGCTTGCACGATAGTAGTCGAAGATTATGAAACTTAACAGACAATGTCGACAGATATCGACTTAGTTGTAATAGATCGTACGTAAATCCCTGTATACTTTATCGAATGAAACAGCGAAGATAATTCCATACTCTTGAAACAATATTCCTCTTTAACCACAAAGTGAGATCATGGAAAATTAAACGAGAACGTCGTACCTAATGAATTATCTTCACTGGAAACGCAACGAAAGTACAAAATAGATTTTATCTTTAGGAAATCGTACAAGTTAGAAGAACGGGATACAGTGTATATGTGTCTAGAAAGCCGAATTAGGTCATTAGGGTTTGTACCTCCGAAAGTAGTGTATACATGAAGATGTCCTAGCAACAACGTGATTGAATCGTCTAGCAAACACCCCGAGAAATCGAATACCTCCTGTTGTCGTGACGCATTTGTGGTTTAACCTCGAAATGCCCCTAAACGCTTCCATTCCTGTTCTGGGCCGCCCTGTATATAATAGCATGAGCGTAAAATTTCCAAAAAAACCGGCAATGTACCTTTATACAGCTCCCTACGTTTACTCTCTATGATATCGCAGCAACTTACGCGACGGACTGCTCGCAAACGCCTATGAATGTTGAACGCTGTCTCTACTTGTATGCGTATACTTTGTTTTCCCACCGTTTAATCCGTTAAGCATGGTTATTATACTCTTTCATGAACTGTATTATGTTAAACGAGTCTTTGGATCGCATGCAATCTACCGACTTTTAGGCTTCCTGATTTCATAATATGGCTACGCAACGTATTTCTTCCTTTTCGTTTTCGTTTTTACACTATACTTGCTTCCACGTGAGAACTTCTCTTATATTATTTTGCAACGCTGAAAGAATTCTCTCTACGCTGCGGCAAATCTTTCTCAGTTCTCCTGTTTGACCGGCGAAATGGTAAACTACGCGCGCTGCAAGTCTGCGTAACCGCGACGACACTACTTATGTTGGTTTATTTTGTCGAGGTCTGCGACGTTTCGCTTCGCGTTCTATCGAGGATGCCTATCGCCTTCAAGGAAGCTACTTGTATCTATTATTTCCTTTCTATGCACACACTCGAATATTGGGACATCCCTCTCGATTCGCGGCGAGCAGCTAAATCATGGAATGAAGGAAGGTCGACGTAACAGCGTTCGCGCGTAACTAAAATCGCTCGAACGTCCGCGAAGTGTTTGAAGCCTTCGGCATTGGTTTCGGGAATTCCTGCGTCAACTTCAAAATTTGTCTCAATATTACGTTCACAGTTAACCGAGTTCTCGGCATTAATTTCGATGCATGAATTGTCACTTTACTTCTCCTGGATACTTCCCCCTACGACGACTGTGTGAAATTCTTGCGATCAATTTATCGGCACTTTCGATCTCCCCCACCCCCGTGTGTGCTTTTTACATATACGATACCCTTGCACAATCGTGAGTGTTCTCCCACATGAAACTCCACAAATTTGCAACTGGCAACCGATTCGTTTCCAATCAACCAGTTACCACGCCGTGCGTTCTCCGGCGAGAAGGGACGAATTAAAACAGGTTTCGTACCAGTGAGAGGGCATAGAAACTGATAAAAGTCGGCTAGATTGGTGTGTCCGAAGAACAGGCAGATCCATGGTGATGTAGTTGTTTTACTTTTCATTCCTAACATGGCAGCTATTGGACCACGTCCTTTTTAATCCCGCTCTTTGGATATATACACCGGCGCCGGTGCAAACCCGGCTTTATTCATACTTGGCCACAGAGTTTCTCAGTGACACGCAGATATACTCGAACGTGAGGAGAGTCTCCACAGTATTACAAACGGTGCACACGCTTAAGTACTATTACTGGGTTGCTAATCCGCGAGCCAAGAGTGGCATCACGCCGAAAGGACTCGGTGAGTGGCCCCGCGCCGTCTAAAACCTCGTGCCCAGCTCTTCGACAGAAGAGAGCTTTTTCTTTCGAAACTAATCGATTGTCCACTTTAAACCTTCCGTTGAATTGCAGATGGACCACGACCTCAGCAGAAAGATATTTTGACAATACGCTCTTATATTTTGTTATTTCTGAAACAACTGATCATGATCGGGAACGGAGTAAAGGACGACGAGTTGCAAAGCATTCTAAATTATCTGACGACCATACACGAGGTAATCGAATGGGAGAATATCCCTCGAAGGAGAAATTTCATTCGATCAGAGTATACGACAGACTGGAACTTCTTTTACAGGACGAAAACCTGCACGACGTTCTGCAAATGCTTATATCGTTGATGTCCGAGCATCCATCGTCGATGGTGCCCGCGTTCGACGCGAAGCAAGGTGTTAGAACGATTTTCAAGCTGTTAGCAGCCGAGAGTCAGCTTATTCGACTGCAGGCTCTTAAATTATTAGGTTTCTTCCTCAGTCGTAGTACACACAAGTATGAGCAAGTATTTTGTAAATAATTGATTCAATCTGTGTTGGACAGAAATGCAAGATGGTTTCGTTGCAGAAGGAAGTATGATGTGATGAGCCCTCACAACCTGTATACCTTGCTGGCCGAGCGGTTATTGTTGAACGAGGAGACACTGTCGTTGCCAACGTACAACGTTTTATACGAGGTACTTTTTCTACCCTTTATACCAACGAAATCTGTTGTCGTGAACATCATTTTCATTATATTCTTTCAGATTATGACGGAACACATTAGTCAGCAGATCCTCTATTCTAGACACCCTGAGCCGGAATCCCATTCCCGGCTAGAGAATCCAAGTAAGTAAGGATTAACTATTGTTTCAATGTTCTCGACGAACATTACACGTTCTCCTCTTTATTCCAGTGATACTTAAAGTAGTCGCAACCCTGATACGACAATCAAAGCAAACGGAACAACTGTTGGAGGTGAAGAAGCTGTTCCTGTCGGATATGACGTTGCTCTGCAACAACAACCGCGAGAATCGTCGCACGGTTCTGCAGATGTCCGTGTGGCAAGAATGGCTGATAGCCATGGCTTACATCCACCCGAAGAACACGGAAGAACAGAAGATCTCGGACATGGTGTACTCGTTGTTTCGCATGCTCCTGCATCACGCGATCAAGCACGAGTACGGCGGATGGCGCGTGTGGGTCGACACGCTGGCCATTGTGCATTCCAAGGTAAATAAGGAATCAACGAAAAATATAGAATTCGAACAAAGAACTGCGTTACACCGGAACGCTGTTAAAGGGAGCAACGTTACTGTACCGCGTATTTTATATATTTTGGGGATTCCAGGTATCCTACGAGGAATTCAAGCTTCAGTTCGCTCAGATGTACGAACATTACGAACGACAGAGATCAGATAACATTACGGACCCTGAGCTAAGACAGCAGAGGCCAATCAGCACTATCTCGGGATGGGATCAACAGCATTCAGGGAATAATGGGTACAACAGACCGTCGCCTTGGGGCAATCAACAAAACCACGATGCGCAACACATTGAGAGAAACTACAAGGTTCGCTCGTTTGTCTCGTAATAATGAACTCTTTCGTTAACATTATTTCGTAGAACATTATCTTTAAATACTATCTGTAAACCTTTACTACCTTGCTAAACTAGGAACTTGATTCTTGACGTGAATAGAGATTTTGAATTCTGTGATCTCTTTATCGAACCGTGTCGACTGTTTGTAGGAGTTCGATGCACCGGAAGGCAACGATCGCCTGGAAGAGTCCTGCAGCTGCGATCTGAACTCGATAGACAACACGGAAAGCGACGGCAGTCCCGCGATCGTAAAGTCGCACAGCGAGGCGCTGGACACTCCCCAGTCGAGCGAAGTGATATCCTTGGATTCTAGATTGAGCGACAAGCCCGAGACCCCGACGACGGCGCGGGAAATGCACACGGACACACCGACCATCCTCGAAGAAGCCAACAGCGAGGCAGTGTCCATACCAACCACCCAGGAAACCAGCGAAGTTATATCGATCGAGAGCTCCAGCGACTTCTACAGCGAGGTGCAGAAGATTAAAGGTTCTAGCCCGGACTCGATGGTAGCGCAAGAAGCTTTGAAGGAGGACGAAGAACCATTGGACCAGAAGCCCGAAGAACCTGTTCCCGAATCGACGCCAGTCGAACAGCAGCCGGAGGAAAGTAAAAAGGAAGAGGTACAGGAAGAAGAGAACGCGACGACTAAAGACGAAGCGAGTGTCGCTGAGACTGCTTCAAAAGCTGAATCTCAGGAGGACGCTGCGGCTCCCACGGAGAACGAGGAGACTAAGGAAAAGCCGAATGCGGTGGAAGACACCGATAACGAAGACGTTGGTTCCAGCGTTGCGGAGGTATCCGAGAAAACCGAGACGACGGAAGAAACGCCAACGGAAACAATTGCCACGATTGAGCCAGCTGTCCCAGAGAACCCGGCATCCGACAGCGAAACACCGGAGCCGCTGACTATCAAGGATATAGAGAAGCTACAATTGGAGAACGACCGAGAGGTGATCGACAGCGATACCTCGGAAGCGTACTTAACGCCGACGGAGAACCAAGAGAACCTAACCGAGATGAAGAGCAAGGATGCAGAGAAGACCGATGAAACCGTGAACGTGAACGAAGAGCTCGAGAGCCCGAAGAAGACGGCCGCCGAGGCCGAGGACAGCGAGAAAGGTACAGAGGAGGACTCAAAGAATCCCAATTGCTCAACTAGCGTAATAGAAAGTACGGAAACCAGCGAGGAGAAGGTAGAAGTAGAAGAGGCGAAAGTGGAATCAGTAGTGACTAGTGAGTTAAGTAGTGAGAAATGCGCCGCGGACTCTGCAACGGAGGACAAAAGTGCTGTTATTAATGATAACGATGACGAGAAGGTAACTGACAAACATTCAAGGGAGCCGTCCACTATTTCTACTAACGTAAGTGATAATAAGTCAGACATTCCAGTGAGGACTGACGAGTTAGAGGTAACAGATAGTGTTTGTAGTAATAGCGATATACAAAGTTCTGTAGATAATGTGACGCAAGTGCCAAATCCTAAGCAGCAAATTCCAACAATATCTACGGTCTGTGATGCAAATAAAAATATGCCCGACGATGTGCCTCAAATCGTTAACTCGATCGCGGTTACGAGGGACAATTCGTTAGCGAACGACGTAACCCCGGATCACGTAGATACCCATCGCAGATCCAGCCTGCCGGCTGTACCCTCCGAGACGGCCGCTGATGAGAACGCAAATAGTAACGAACCTCCTTCTTTACCTGTACCCTTGCGGAAAACATCGTCACCACAGAAACGACCAAGGAGTGCCTCAACATCCACGCAAGTGGACCCCAATCATTTTGGTGAGATACCGATTTGACTTTGAGAAGCAAGAATCTTCAAAGTTTGAATACCCCGGTACCTTGGTCTTTCCTATTAATATTCATTCTCGTTGTTTCTAATGTAGAATCAAAAAGAGCCAAACAAGGAAATCCTTCGACGAGACCAATGTTCAGTCCAGGGCCGACTCGACCACCTTTCAGAATACCAGAATTCAAATGGTCCTACATACACCAGAGACTACTCTCGGATGTCCTCTTCTCGTTAGAGACAGACATTCAAGTTTGGAGAAGGTAAAAATACTAAATTCATTCTAGAATAAGATCTAAATTAGCGCAGTGTCTTCAGCTTAAATATACTAATTGTAATTTTTGAATACGCGTGCTTCAGCCACTCGACGAAGTCAGTGCTGGATTTTGTGAACAGCAGCGAGAACGCAATTTTTGTTGTTAATACTGTTCACCTGATTTCGCAACTGGCCGACAATCTGATAATCGCCTGCGGAGGGTTGTTGCCACTTCTAGCGTCAGCGACATCGCCGAATGTATGTATTCGATCCTCTCTAGTTCCAATTTTATTTTACATAGAAGAGTGTAACCGGGTGATATGAGTTCGTTTTTACGGAGATCCTTTTTTTAATTCGTGCTTGGATATTCATAGAGCGAATTGGATGTAATTGAACCAACTCAGGGGATGCCAATTGAGGTAGCGGTTTCTTTTCTGCAAAGACTAGTCAACATGGCTGATGTACTTATCTTCGCCAGCTCTTTAAATTTCGGTGAACTGGAGGCCGAGAAGAATATGTCTAGTGGCGGTATTCTAAGGCAGTGTTTACGACTGGTTTGTATTATCGTCCACGTAGTAATTTAATTTCTCAGACAAACACATTACTCTTTCTACACTATAAAGATGTCCCCCTCTGTCTTTATCTCGAGAATTAGTTTGCGTGAATAAATTTCTATGATGAACCGTAGTGTCACCGTCCAGCAAAATATGAACGAAAATATCGTTGAAAGAAGTCACGTTATACGTTTCCAATGCACATTGTTTAGATTCATCGTGTTGCACTTTACAAGTGAAATCTATCACAGACGACACAAACACCAATCCCAAGTTGCCCTCGTCTTTTACACTTTATTAATTTAGGTTCTCTTCTAGTAGTGTTATTTACAGTTTCATTTTTGTTTTTAAATGATAGAAGAACCGTTATATTATCGCTTTGTCACGTTAATTCTGTGTACGTGTACACATCCGTTAAAATAAAAGAATTCTAATTTTATTACAACCCAAGAAGGACTCTCTTAAATTGAAGATTCAAAGGTATTGATATTTTGTAATTGGAATATCAAAATGTTCCCAAACCTGAACCCTAACACTTTTGTAGTCTACAAGTAAATTTCTGTGAATAGAAATAGTATTTAAACCAGCAGTGTGTGGAATAGTTGTAATAATACCAGCTTCTGTATATGTGTGATATAGAACACCATCTTTTACACTCTACATTTTTGTTATATTCATCTGATGAAATGCTTCTATAGGTCTGTACATGTGCTGTTAGAAACTGCTTAGAGTGTAAAGAACGTGGCAGATCGTACAGCATGTTAGGTCGGCAGATTGGTACTAGTAATAAATCACAGCACATACAGTCTCTCATACGAGGAGCTCAAACATCACCCAAGGTACGTTTCATCTGATCAAACTTAATTTACATAGACAGAATGTGTATTACTGTCATCAATATCTGACAAATTGCACACAATGCATACTTGTCCAAAGCCATAATGTATAGAAGAATAGAATTCTCAGTGATCATCAGTATGTGAGCCCTTTGATATACAAGTAAAATGGAATTTCTATGTCCTACAGAACATAGTGGATAATTTGGCCCATCAATTAAGCCCTGTTAAAGATCCTGAGAAATTGCTGCAAGACATGGATGTGAATCGTTTAAGAGCTGTGATATACAGAGATGTTGTAAGTATATCCACTTGTTTGACCTGTGTATTATGCAGTATCGAAGATATCATAAATAATACAGGGTATATCTTTATCATTTTAGGAAGAAACCAAGCAGGCCCAGTTTCTGTCCCTGGCTATAGTTTACTTCATCTCTGTACTAATGGTATCAAAATATCGTGATATATTGGAACCACCAATATCTCAACGTCCACCAAGCCCAGTTCAAACAATACAGACTAATGGTGCTAGTTTGAGACCAGGCAGTCCATCAGGTAAGATATAATCTGTCCTCATATTAAACAATTTTTTGCTACAAAGAAGTACAAAACATTGAATTTTTTAATGAAACTTATTGAAGACATTAGGCAATTTTAATTTGACACAATAACAATTTCATTACATTAACAATCTTGACAGTTTCTTGAGGTAAACAATCTGAATCATTTATAATAACTGGCATAGTATTTGTTTCCCCAATGATTAAAAGTAGGGAATTAACAGGAGCTTTTGAAAAAATGTGTTAATCAGACACGCAAGGAGTTATTAACTTGATGTTGATACTAAAATATGCATGTTGAATCTTAAACATATATATGTGTTAACCCTCTAACAAACTACACGAAAAATGTAATTGTTTAATGGATAAAAATTAATATTAATTATGTCTAATTATTACTTCAAAACTCTTACATGTCAGATATATCTTATTCTATCTATTAACTGTTGTAATTCACCTTCAAAATTTATTTCTCTTCAAACTTTCAACCTAAAATAATAGTATGGCATGACTGAAGTTATATGAGCATGTTTCTCTTGATTTTTCAATAGTTTAAAAAACATTTTAGATGATATTTAAAATACTTTGATTATGGAAAATATAAGATACAGATAGATAAATTAGAAAATTTTATTCTAGATATCATTTAGTTATCTATTATAGATTCTGCTAATCAATTCAGTCAAATGAGAATCATATACATAACACAAATGTATGTGCAAATCTGTAGCTAACATGGAACACTGTGCACTTTAACTGTGTAGCTGCAAATTCAACAACAGCACAAACACACAAAATAGAGCGCATGTTCAATCGCACTGTATGAAATATTTTATATGTATCTGACAGTGAGAGTTTTGATGTTTGTCGAATGCATTAGCACTTTCTTTTACGTTCAGATATATTCTTATTATGCCATTATTACTTTACATTACAAAATACAAAATTCTGTCACCCAAAAGAGTTTCAAACTAAAATATAATGTGTAAAATATAATATACGATAATCTACATTGATTACATTAAGTGTTTCTTCAAGCCAAATTAATTGATCAGTATTATGTATTACTTCAGTGTCGTATTCTAACAATGTGTGTGATCTCTAAACAATGTAATGCTCCTGAATTCAGTCCTTTATGTTTCTTTGAGATAATAGAGTGACTTAGTTGTTGTGCAAGGTAAAAACTCATTCATTATCATTACATATACTGAGTTTCACTCTAATGACATCGAATAATAAAAATTTCAATTGTGTTTCTTACCATCCAATGCGTAATCATTCTGGAGAATTCTTTAACGGTCCTCGACGATGGAGAACAAATGTTTAACTACACTTACTCTAATCAAAATTTGCAAGAAATGATTGATACAACTTGAAATTTTCAACTTCACCAAAGAAATTACTAATTATCAGTAAATAAATTGAATTTTTATACATATCTTAAGACCTTCTGTTTAACGGTGCACTCCAACGGACATAATAGTTCATCCTCTCGCCGCTATTAACCGAAGAGCGCTAATCTGTGCTCTGATTGGTGGATTCATAGGGCTGAATTCTTAACGGTACTGAACATAAAAACACAGTTTTATATTTAATTTTGTGCAAACAAGATGTACGTGATAATCATGTGTAATTTTTATTTGATTAAGTGTTTAAAATTCGTGTTTTTATACCGGAAAACTAGTTCAAGCGAAAGAAGAATTCACTCAGGAGATATGTAAGTGAAACTTAATTTGAATTTCGTGCAATATATCGGATAAATTTGAATTTAAATTTGGTACCCCAACCAAGTATAAATAGCACTGTTATCTCTTTTACCTTAAAAGTTTGACGGTAACGAATGACGCAATGAAATACAAATATATTATAATTACATCCTAAAAATTAGAATATTTACAACTACTACAAAATTATCGAAATCAAGCTACGTTCACAATAATTCATAACATGCTAAATAGACTAACAGGTTATGTAACGATCACACAGTGGATAGAGTGAAACCCAGTGTATAAGGTAAAACCACACTGAGAAGCAAAAATTTATGCGTCATGTACAAAAGTATGATCTCTCTACCTTTCAAATTCGAGGAGTAAATTTTCACGTACCTTTTGTACAGTTTTTCTATCGGAAATCTCCGTTCCCATAGCTGATGGGTTCTAGCTCATGATCAGCCATAAACTGAAGTTGGCTGAATCCCTTAACACTAGAATTATCGAGCACTTAAACTGACTTTTAAAAATTTCATTATAAAAATTACAAACGCGGATTTATCAAGGACTGAATTGATTTAAATTTCAGCGTAAATATTACTTAACACGTTGAGTGCCGCATGATTTTGCAGAGAAAAATTTACGAAATGAAAATAATGTAACATCAACTTATTATGTTACGTTTATCTTGTCGAATATCCCTGCATTAGGTGGTATTACTTATAATATAGAAAAGCTTTCAAATAATCATCGTTCAATCGAATGAATTATAGTAACTTGATTTGGTTGAGGTCACCGGTGACCCCCATGGCATCCAACGTGTTAATCAGTTTTTGAGAAATTACTAAAGAGAGATATTCGTACCTCTTCAATAATCGCAAAGGAAAAAATCAAGGAATGGGTCATTTTGAGCCATTTGGTAGTTTTAGTGTTAAAGCTGATCAAAATTTTGAATATTATCCAAACCGTAAGAAGTTGAAGTAGATATCGGGTACGGGAAGACGCCTAAATTCTTGTTCTCAACCATGTAACATGAAGATAAGAAAAAACGCACCACAGATACGAGAGCTTAGCGATCGAGAATCGGTGGTAACGTGGTAAATATGGTTCCTCAGCAGATGGGAATGGTGGTGGAGGAGGGCGGCCCCTGTTTCCACAGTGGTCTCACCACGTGTACCCACAGTTCCTCCCGGGATCTCACCCTAACGCCAATGCGAATGCCAATGTCAATGCCAACCACCACATCAACCAGCACCACCACCAGCACCCGCTACCGGCTGCCAGGCACTCTAACCGCCAGCCCCCCTCCAACTATTATCTCCCGAATCACCACAGTAATCATTATAACCATCATCCGAATAATCATAACTATCATCGTCATCATCATTACCATCATCACAATATCAACAATCACCATCATACGCTTCAAAAGCATATCGATCAGCCCCGAAATCTCTGTCATAGAAACTCCGGTCTCGGTCTGCAAGGTAAACTCGATTGCCCGAACGTTGTGTTCCACGGAATGCTCGAGTTCTTTCTTTGGCCTGCTCGAATTTCTTTTAATTGCCGTTCGTCTATCTGCCAACGAACAAAACTCTCTACACTTCTGCGCTCCACGTTTTACGTTTCCGTTCTTATCTGTTCGTTTGTTTTTGCGGTCTTGACGAGCCGATCTCTCTGTCCGCATGTCGCTGTTCACTGGTAAATTTGAGAGTCGGGGTCTTTGTCGGACGGGACACTAATCAATGCCATCTTTCGTGGAATAAAGATCTTTGTTACAGTTTGAACGATTGATTAATTAAACGAACGTAATTATGGATTAAAAAGAAAATTCACTTTTGTAGAATTCATGAATCTCGATTATATTATTCAGTAAGAATCTGTAGATCTGAAATTAACGAGTGTCTCGTCTGGAAAGACCTTCCAGGTTTGTTTTACATACAGAGACACATGCACGTGCACGCACATTGACAGATATACAGGCATTATTGTCGTTATGATTTTGTTTTTCAGCAGTGTTTCGTTTTGAAGGAATGAAACTGTTTGAACTTCACCATCCCCTTACGTTTTCGTTGCTGGTTTATTTCTACATAGAACTTCTAGTCCTTCCATTGAACAAATCGTTATATTCTTTTACTTGAAAAGGACAGTTCTTTCGAGAGACGAATAGACGAAGTCAAGTAGACATTTCGATCGTAAAAATTCTGTTTACAAAACTGATGTGTATGCATTGTCTTCGTTACGATATACTAATCAACCGTTATCTGAAGGTTTGGAACGCATAAACAACTTGCACGTAAACTTTCTGTATGAAAAATGCGCACTACTTGCATATCATTTGCGAGTAAATCAACATGTCTGCATGGTCGTTAGACGTAGTTACGCCATTAAACATTTTTCTTGCCACTAAACGCAGGACTTGTTTCTTGATACAAAGATGTACATTATAGCCATCACTCTTCTTAATGTTCGAACACTTAATAAATCTATCTATCTTTCGAAAATCTGTGACTTTTGCGAAACTTAAACCCTATTATTCTTGTTAGCCAACACATTTCTTTGAACTAGTCATCGTTGAATACTTAACGAGGTCTATACATGACTAAACAATTACTATCGATCTATTACTTTTTGTTTACCTTCGCTATAGTGTTGTTTTATTTGAGACATATACTCGAAGGGATGGGAAACTGTTACTATCACAGAGAAATGCATTTGCTCGATCGAGATTTTCAACTTTAAATCCAACGAAACCGTTTCCCTGAGCTTCCAATTGTTAAACAATTTTGAATGCTGTAATTACCTACCTATTGCGCTTTGTTTGTCCTCAACCGTTTGAGATTCCTGCACTATAATGGATCTCCTTTCCTGTACGATGCAATCGACGTGTAGCACCCCAAAACATAGAAACATTGTTACCTCGAAAATGCTTAGCTGCCACGGTGCTCATTAAGAAGATCGGAAATGATTTTTAATAGAATCCTCCCTGAAGTAGAACGTTATCCTTGCTAGTGACGAAATTTTCCTCACGAATGCAATCGTCGATCGCATCAGCGTTCATGTCATGTGCTTTGCAAGAGAATACACGAGTGTAATGTAGATATAGGTGCATACTGTCACACTGTCGAAATGTGTTCCCAGGGAGCGGAGGTATCATGAGCCAAGCTGGTTCTCAAGATGACGGTGAATATGAAGTAATAATTGTCGACGAGAACAATCCGTCGATCTTGGCGGATCACGACGTTACGTCGTCCGGGCCACCATCGACGAAGGTAAGTGATCAATATTACTCGTTCATTCGACCTGTCCTCTACGATAAGATGCAATTTTCGCTGCGACCCGTTCAAACGTGCGACAAAAACAAAACAATATAAACGTTCTGCCTATACGAAAGACGTGTGTACATCGGGATTAATTGTTCCGATATTACTCAGGTAAAAAAAATCTATTCTGAATCTATGCTCAGTATTCTCCGTCTATGAAAGTGATGAAGACACGAGAATTTACAATTTTTTATGGTCCACGGATTAAATTTCTTTTTTGATAATCTCACTTGAGGCTGCATGCTGTCCCTATCGAGACGGAATGTAAACGTGTTTCAATCGATACGTACAATCTTTCAGCTTATAATTGTACATAGTAAATATTATTAAAGCGTTCCTGAAATTACAATTGAAAAAATTTAATGATTGTTCCGCAGACATGATCTTTATACAACAGGTGAGCTGTTTGAAGTAGGCTATCAGAGTAGTTGAACTTTTCTCGTGGAGGAGACTTATCGATTTTTGTATTATAAAAATAGTGACGGAACATACGGTATGAAAATTATCATAAGAAAACAGTGACCTGCTTCAGATACCTCGCTCTATACATTCTATTGTATACATCCAGTTCTTTTCGATACTTAATGCACTTTTCTATCTCGCACGAATTACGGTCGTAATAAAATTGAACACTTCCTGCAGACACGGTACGCTTTGCATTCGTTTATTGATCTAATACTTTTCGATTCTTCTTCAGTAGTCGTTCAGAATTCAGAATCTATTTTAAACTATCAACATCAATGAGGAACAAACTGCATGCGTCCCATGTACTACTTGTGCGACGATGAACAGTAGATATAAGCAATGAACGTAAGAAGTACAAGGAAATCAATGTCGACGTCAATAACGTATAATCTAGTTTCCATTGAAAGTCTCCTTTAGAAGTAGTTTATACAATAGTTGATATATTAGACGACCCCTAAGTAATCTTAAACTTAAAAGACAACCAGTAAATTACAGTTTCTGCTACATCCAGCATGTAGTGTATACTTAGCGTTATCTTGCACTTGCGTAGTCCAGAGAAATTATATCGTGTAATTATACATTAACGATTTTATTCGAGCACGTACGATTTGATCGAAAGTTTCGATGTACGCGTCGACGTATTTGAAAGCAACCACGGTCCGATTGATGTACATATTTGAACCCGCCCCTCGAGAGAAAAAGCGAAAACTATATTATATCTGTAACGTTTCGATCTCTGATAGTTTTCGAGCATGCGACACCCTTTCACTTTTCAATTTTCTTTTCTCATCGTTAACTTCCTCTGCTTGCATTGCTATGCGTACTAACTACTGGTTCTGAAGGGAGGTCACAGTGGTGTACCTCGGCCACGGACAATTCTCGAGGATTACACCTCGTCAGAACCAACGCTTGGCTCTACGACAAGACCCGAACCACTGCCACGAAATATCCAGGTAAAATTTGACTCGAGTACGGACCCTGAATGAAATTTCAAACGACAGTTGCCCCTCCGTCCCTGAACATTTCTCTATTTCCATTTGCCAATATCTCTACCGACTGTCCACCAACGTTTTGGGATCGTTCGAAAATACTTTGTTAAACCGTTCGCACGCTCTCTCTCCGAGAGCAAGAGGAAACGCAACAAGAATGCCCATTCGACGGGTACGCAGTAACGATAGTTTCGAAACGGTATACAGAGAAAAGAATTCGTTTACTATTATTTGTTTATCTGTTTTCGTATCTTAATTCCAAATGCAATCTGCGCAGTCGAGACGGTGTTATTTATGTTCACCGTCCGCGCTTGAGAATCTAGGAAGCTTTTATTTCTCGTTCACACGTATTAGATGATTGCGTATTATAGCGATGTTACTACTAATTGCATGACGTAAAGTGAGTGCATAGCACGCGAGATTTAATCGCAGAGTATATCGTCCGATTCCTATAGAACGTTCCTAAGACTGTTTTAATAGACACCTTTACGACTAGATTGTTGGGACGAAAGCTAGGCTTTCGTTAGAAGTATTCAGTAAATGTAGTCAAGTAGACGTAGTTCTGTCTCATAGTATCTTTCAACCGAAGCAATTTTATCCGTTATCTCGCCACACGATAATATTTACATCTTTCTCCACGTTTCTCCTAACGTTTAAGCAGAAAAATGGTCAATAACCTTCGCGAAACGAACGCACTCGCACCGCTCGATATCCCTAGACGACCAATCAATTCCGGATTGGTGTCTCCGCACATTTACAAAGCCATCAGCCGGCGGACAGACACTTTAATCTCGCCTCCTTTTATTCGACTTTCTCACAGAGCAACGACTCCAGCGAGGAGACAATGCACCGTAGCAATATCACCGTGGATGCCAGTCCGTCCGATGTCACCACTGACAATGAGAACAAGCATAACTCCTCCGAGGAGGCTTGGACTGACGTAAACCTGAACGAAGACGGGGACACTATCCCGATTACCAATCAGAGAGAAGATCCGCGGAATATTCACAATATCGCTCATTCCCGCGGTAAGATTTCTATTAAGAAATTGCCGTTTAATCAGTTTCGCTTGAACTACTTACCCGGTTACATACTATTTCCATCGAATGTCTAACCAATCGATACTTGATAATATTTACATACAACCTTCCACTAAAAGCAATTGCTACATGAGTAATACATGAGGTTACATATAGGGAGAGTGATTTCTAAAATGTTCAAACTGCCTGCACCCCTTTGTTAACGAGTCGATTAGAGAATTGTTAACTGGCTGGTGTACAGGAGAAATTCAAGACAACGAAGGCAACGTCCTGGACCAAGAGATGCTCGGTAACGCGGAACGCGGCGAAAAGCCATCGGCGGAGATCTCGGTGGTCCGCGTGCCGGACAGATTGGTGGTGACTTCGGCGTCACCTCGGCCAGACGAATTGCCGATCAAGGGACTGGTCGATCACCTGCCGGTGCCGACGCCCTCGCGCGAGGCGTCGCTCACGCAAAAGCTCGAAATGGCGTTGGGTTCGGTGTGTCCTCTCCTGCGCGAGATCATGGTGGATTTCGCGTCGTTCCTCTCGAAAACCCTGGTCGGCTCCCACGGTCAGGAATTATTGATGGAAGGAAAAGGTATACACACGCATGTCCCGGGGAACGCTCGTCGATCGATCGATCGGTCGATCGATCAATTTGTATCCTCGCTCGTGAACGCGCTTTCTAATAACGCGGAACGTCTGTTAGAAAATCGAATTACCCGGCGTAATTACCTAGCTGATTGATTTAAACGCGATCAAGCTGATCAACGATCGTTCGAATTTCTCGACGGGAATATTAAACAGGCTCGCTAAAATAGATAAAGAAATAAACACGACGAAACGGTGACGTGTCGGACGCTCGAGTCCCATTTAGATACACGGACGATAAATAAAATTCCCGAGATTCCGCGCGGATGCAGAGAACGCGCCTCGGTTTTCGTCACATTTGAACGGCCGTCTCGCTTTGACTTTCTCTCGGTTGATCTCGGGGCGAGGGTATTCAAATTAGTTAGTTTATAGTTTCGCTTAGGAAGATGGAAGGCGTATTCCGGATAATCGTTTGACATTTGTATTCTCGCGGCGCGGTATTGTCCGCGCCACTTCGCGGACATTTTATATTCGTGGAACGTCGCGAATGACGGTCGCGGCGCGTATCGACGCGCTTTATTTTCAACGAGGCACGAAGCGATCCATTGGTGGCGTTGTTTATAAATCACACGGCCGTCCGTGTCTCTTCCCCGTTCCTTTCTTATTCGCCACAGTGTCCCCATATATATTTTACAACGGATCCTAAACAACCGATCCTTTTTTCGTCCGTCCACGGCCTTCGCCTCGTCCCCGTTACGCCCGTGCGTTAACGATTCCCTTCGGCTCTTGATTGCTAGGCCTGACCACCTTCAAGAACAGCAACTCGGTCGTGGAGCTGGTGATGCTACTTTGTTCCCAAGAATGGCAGAACTCCTTGCAGAAACACGCGGGCCTCGCGTTCATCGAGCTCATTAACGAGGGAAGGTAAGGAGGCTCATTATGATCATCGTTAGAACGACAGAGTTATAGGGCGTGCAGTAAACCAACGGCCGAGCATTCCCGTTCCTATCGTAAAAGTTTACGTTTATGTTACGCGCAGGTTGCTGTCTCACGCGATGAAGGATCATATAGTCAGAGTGGCCAACGAGGCTGAATTTATCCTGAATCGGATGAGAGCGGACGACGTGCTGAAGCACGCTGACTTCGAGGTACTCGCCCCGCCGTTCCCGGCCTTGGCCAATTAGTTTCCGCGCAGATATTATCCGTTCGGACTCGACGTATCGGGTTCGGGTCCCGTGCTTAAGATAATTATCGTAAAAATGTTTACTCTTCAGTCGCAGTGCGCGCAAACGTTGCTCGACCGGCGGGAGGAGGAACGGATGTGCGATCATCTGATCACAGCCGCTCGCAGACGGGACAATGTGATCGCTAGCAGATTACTGGAGAAGGTCCGAAATATTCTGTCTAACAAACATGGCGCATGGGGATACATGGATCCAATGGCTGCAAAGTAAGTCGCGATAGTCTCGTTACGATGCCCCGCTGATTGAATGATTCAACGAATTGTTACGATCATGTTGAATTCACATTTGTTCCTTCGACCTCGGGGTTTAACCTTAACGCTTGTAAAAGTACTAGTCGATTTGAATGAGCGATTACGTTAACCCTTTGCACTCGAGAGGTGACTCTCAGTCGAGACTTGATTTGATACAATAAATTACGAAGTCTTATAATATTAATGACGATTTACTTGTTAAACGCAGATTGGCCGAATACTGGAAGCTAGATGCTTGGGAGGATGATGCACGTAGACGCAAGCGTTTCGTGCACAATCCACTAGGCTCGAGCCATCCCGAAGCTACACTGAAAGCGGCCCTCGAGCATGGTGCACCCGAGGATGCGATCCTCCAAGCGCGTGAAGAGTTTCACGCGCATCTCGCAGCCTCGCGTGCACATCAGCAGCAATTGCAGTCGGCGGATCTCATGGATGACAGCGAGTTGTTGTCAGACGACAGAGATCTCGACAACGACCCGACAGGTTAGAACCTCTATTTCATTTCGTTTCCATTCCGTTGGTTTCATTTCCGTCCGCGTCCATTTGCTTTCGTTCTCTTCAATTTCTTTGCCAAACGAAGCGTGACCGTTTTACTTGCATGCTGTACCATTTGAACTCCGATACGCTTAAATTACAACGAGGTCGTGTTTCGTCAGGCCCGGTGAACATCAGCACGAAAGGAAAATTGGTAGCGCCAGGTATCGTGGCTCCCGGTATCATCTCCGTCACATCCACGGAACTCTACTTCGAGGTAGACGAGGAAGACCCGGAGTTCAAGAAGATCGACGCCGAGGTAAGTGGTACACATTTAATTACAATATCTAGGTGAAGTGTTCGCAATTCGTTCGAGTAGAATTGGAAGTTCCGAAGATTACACCTGCTAGCGAATCGACATGAATATTACTCAATCGAATGTTCCGTGTGTACACGAGTAACTATTTCTGTAATTGTGAAAGATGATTTAGATTTCGAACCGGCCTTTGCGTATCCAGCTGCATTTCCTTGCTCGCATTTATCACGTGTCACACGCAATCTTAATAATTAATCACTGTGTCAGTTCCTCCGCGTTAAGATACCGTCTATTACATGCATTTGGAGCAACTTGTTGCGTTCGCGAAGCTATCTCTTTGAAATATGGTTGTCCCGCAGATAAGGTCACCTCGCACTGAAATGCAGGATCACGCGTACGCGAAAGCTACTTTTTACGAATCCGCTTTGCGAAACGCACGTCTCCGAAAGAGATCCCGATGATCGAACGCCGTCTCATTGGGAACGACGACTGCTTAATTCAATGGCGAAACACTAGGAAGTGGCGTCGAATGAAATTTGACTCGCTAATCTAGCACGACGTAGAATAATTAATGAACCCATTCACCGATGAATCTAAATAAACGCGAATCATAAATGATGAGACGTGACGAAAGCTTCCACGATACTGACCCCGTATAGTCGACTCTCATTGGGATTGGCTCGGACGTGTCCTTGTCTATCAGGGTCCATAATGTGGTCACGTTTCGCGAAGGTGGCCATCCCAGGGGAAAAAGGAAAGAGAGAGGTAGAGATAAGAGACGAGAACCGAGAGAGAAGGCCTGGATGTACCAGAGGCCCGATTATCATATATCGGTCGTAGATCTCGCGTTTGTATAACTAGGGAATAAAACAAACAGGGAAGGGCCCCATGGGGTCGGCCGATCTTCAGGGTCGGCAATTATGAGCCCCCCGCGGGGCCCGGTATCTGCCTACCCGACTCTCCGTCTCTCTTTACCTTCGCCTTCCATCGCCTTCGCCACGTACTAACCACACATCGGTGGCATAGGTGAACAGACAGCTCTCCTCAGGAATGCACTCGAATGCACTACCACGCTTTCCTATCTAGCAACTATCGCACGTCTAGCACGGCATCCTGTTTCATGCGTCACCCGGCGATTCGATGGGAATAGATGAATCGGGAAATGTCGCCGCGCTCGAATTCCGTGTCACGTACTTTAGGAAACTGCTTCATAAAGATGAAGAAATTAAACGGCCTGCTCGGCGTTTCCACTTACCGCTTTTCCCCAGAGTTAATCGGCACTCTCCAGCGACGAGGTACCAGCAACGGATTCATCGATCTTAACGCACACGGTGCTAAATTGATTCGAATTATAATAGTTCCTTCCCTCGTCATCGGAGGATTCTAAAACAATACCTACTTCTAATCGTCCGTCTACAATTCACCGGGCATCAGCCACGATCAATTCCGAACGAGGAGTCCAAAGTCTCGAGACGGTTCACCCGGTCCCAGGCTCGCCACGAATTTCTCCGTTGAAGATTTCGTCGTGTCCACCTGTCGTCTCCGATTCATCTCGGCCTGCTCTTGAATAGGAGCACGAGCTCATTCGGTCCTCTTAATTGGAATCCCCTTTTTAAACAGAAACGGTGAACACATCTGGGACCGTGGAAGGCAAAGAACGAGCGGCGAGAAAGATGGAACAGTGATAAAGGGAGGAAAGAGGGAAGAGAACACGGAGGCACGGACCGGAGGATGTGGCAGCGAGTAGATAGAGAGAAGAATAGAGAGCGAGAGAAAGAGAGAGAGAGAGAGAGAGCGAGAGAGAGCAAGTGAAAGGGAAACAGAGCGAGAGACTAGTCCGTTCACGATCGAGACACGCTCATTAGTCGAGGATGTCCCGAGGGTAGGCGGGAGGCTTCGTCGAATTCGTAGGCGATGGATCACTCGATAGTCGAGCCGAGACTTAAGCGATCGTAATGCGCGGCCGAGGAGGAAGGCTGCGTCGGGAGTGGCCCCAGGCCAGGGACTGCATATCGGTGAACTCTCGCTGCTACGCTGCTCTCCTCCCCCCCGGATCGCGTCGATCCCTCCCTCCCCTTCCAGCTTTTATAATGGTCCGGGCAAACGTATTTATCGTGATTTATTGTTTACACGGGTCTCCTTTCTCTCGGCTTCGCCCCGTCCTTCTTCATCCCTACGGTCTCTCTTTCAACGGGTTCTGCGCTAGAGATAGAGGATGCGCACCGTGCGATTACGTCTCAGGTGAATTATTGATCGTCCACGGGGAACATTAATATCTAAAACAAATAATGGACCGTTACAATCCCCTCGCCTCCTGCCCGCGTCCAATCGAACTTCCATTGATCCGTCTTTTACTTTTCTTTAGTCAGCCCTTCGTACACTTACGAAGTCTCTTGCCTTCTCCGGGCTCTTCTGTCAATTTATCCTGCGCGTTGTTCTTCGGGACACCGGTTGAGTCACTCTGCCGATCAGCGATGATTCCCCGTGCGTGTCGGAGCCACGAATTATGCAACGGAATGCTAATATCGTCTATTCGATTGAGTCATAATTTTTTCCTCCGTGCGCCCGCTGTATGCGCTACGGGCGAGGTGTTTGTTGTTGAAATTCTATCTTTACGCGGTTATTAAGTCTCTTTACCATACTCCTACGGCGTTGTTCGTGGCTCGCGTGTTGACCGCTTGGAAGGAGGCAGCTCCGTAATTGCCGTGCTTTCAGGCACGCACGATACTCTCGTTACGCGGACACGCTCGGCATCCGTTCGACTTTGTAAGCAAACTTTTTCTCCCGCTTGAATTCCTCGCCTCTTGAATTGCACCTGCAATCCCGACGAGAAGTCCGCTGAACCTGGTGGACCTATTCCCCCGTGGAAAAATGTCAAAGTACCCGCAGCTCGCGCACGGACTTACAAGCTGACTGAAATCATCGGCTTTACGTGAACTCGGAATGTTCCTCCCGATTGGACGATCGTCGAGAAGGTTCACGGTATCCTTACAAAGAAATACAAGCTAACCCCGTCTCGGCTCTCTCGATCCTGCCACACGGGCGTCACACGGGAAGATTCTAACGCTTCTTGATACCCAATCAGCGCGTGTCTCACGGCCTTCTTTTATTTACGACCGGCCAATCTTGCAAACAAGAACAGGTATTCTTCCCCGTTCGGTTTTACGTCGAAGCATCTTCATACGGGAAAGCCCGATCGAACGCGAGCGAACGGCCTCGACGGCGGCCGTATTAAAATTCACCGGTTAAAATATGCGGAAAAGAACGCCTGTTTGAATACAAATTGTACGTATTTCCGTGGCGAGACCCGGCGACCGTCTCATTGGCAGATATAACGGGGCGACCGATCGCCGGACGTGTTCTCTCCGAAGGGGTAGGTCGCGCGGGGGACATTAAACTCCGCGCGGTGTCGCGGCGGGCTTGCATTTTTATGGAAACTCGCTGGCGCCTAAAGCTCCTTCTCTCTTTACCTCTCTCTCTCCCCCTTTCTCTGTTGCCAGTCCTCTGTCTGTCTCTCTCGACTGATGCTATAGTTATCGCAGACACACGCTGCGAGTATCCCCACGGGATACTTATGGCCACGGCGCGCGAGCAGGATACAGGAAGACAGCCGGGACGGGCCGGAGAAAGAGGGAAACAGAGACCAGCCGGACAGGTGGTCCGTGGCGTACGTTCGTGCATACTCATTGGCTAGCGAGATGCCATTAACGGGAGTACAATATCGCGAAAAATCGTGGAACATCCGATCGTTTATCAGCGGGCCCGCGACGAGACACTCGCTCGTATATCATGCTACGGATGAGATTTTCGATTTATGGATAGAGAATGTTATTCGTTGCCTGCAATTACCGCGATCGCGAACACTTGACGTTACCTTGGACGACTCGCGCGCGTGCCTATTTTTAGATTCGCGTGATAAGCATGAACCCTCGAGGAATAAGAAAAATTTGTGTATTCGACGAAATATCCATTTAGTTTTTGCTCGAAACGTCGAGACATCCGGTACGGACGGCGAGGAATGTCCCAGATATATCGTTAGGAGATCTCGCCGAGATACGAAACTTAGTTCGCCGAGAAATAGGAAACTCCGGGCAGGTTTCGCAAACGCGTACTCTTTCCCCGAGCAAGGTTAATCGTTAATTGAACGCGCGCATTGCGACATTCGTCTTTTTCGCCAACTGGTCGTTATCGGGCGTGGTCTCTTAACCAGTTTCCTACGATTATTCATTGATATATGCAAAACTACCGGCCACGCGAACTACATTCTTTTTCTTCCAAATTAATAAGGCTGCAGGATATCGCGTTCATTGACAGCTTAACGGGCTTATCGCGGCTGACAGCTGAGCCGCCGGTTGATTGGGCCTTCTCGTACGGATACGGTTACGCATGCGAAGTGACTCGTTCGGGGCACGGTAATTTCGTTCGATAATCGCAAGCCGTTCGACTCGCCGGTGAATGCATCGCTCACGTAACTTTTCCGTTCGCGTTACTCTCATTACTGTCTGGCCGATTCGCCGGAGATCATTGCCCAGATACACCCCCGGCGTAAGCGATTCATTAACGGGCGAACACGTGCAATCATCGTAATTATACCTCGTATATGTACGGATTCATTGTTTCCGCTCGGCGCGGCCGCTGTGCAGCCATACGAAGGAAAGAAAGCGCGGACGTATGAACGAATGATCGCGGAGGGCGTGCACTTCTAAGGAGACCGAAGAGAAATGGCGGGAAGGCGGGAAAGTAACCGTGAACGAGCACCGATTTAATGCTATACGATTATGCTCTGCAACGGCAATGCATATGCATGATACGCGCGTGATATATTGCCGGTGACGTAGCAGTAATGCAGCTGTAATTATCCGGTGCTCGATACCGTCGAGTCGAAAATCGTGCACCGGTTCGTAAACACAGTCATTGAAAACGTAATTGTACTTCGTCCTATTAGCTCGGTCAAGAATCACGAGTGGCGATAAATAATTGATTTCGTTCGCTCGTAATACGCT